GGAAGATAGCAGTGCAAATGTACTCGTTTTCCGCAAAAGTCTCTGCTTATCGTAAGCCATAACCAGAATCGTGTCTGAATTACTAACTTTGAAACGAGCATGCTCAGATAATGAGGAGACACTAGGTAATATTACAGAACATAAGGAAATTATATGCACCTAGGACAGGTACTACCGGACGAGTGCACATGTGCATGCCAGACCGCAGCTGATGTTTCGTAGACTGGAAAGTTCTAGGATCGAGTTCCGACGGTGGCAGGTTTTCGAGGCGGCGACGGTGGCAGTGACAGGTTTTAGGACGCACGATTAGGGCGAGGGTGAGGTTGAAGTGTGGGAAGGAAAGAAGGTCCAGTGTGTGAGTTGTTATTGAGCATGAGTGTGTTTTTTAAGCGTCAAGTGTGTGTGTGTGTTTTTAAGCGTAAGTGTGGTGTGTGTGTGTGTGGTTGTTTAAGCGTAAGTGTGTTGTGTGTTTAACGTAAGTGTGTTGTGTGTGTTAGCGTAAGGTGTGGTGTGTGTGTTGTTTAAACGGTCAAGCTGCTTGTGTGTGTGTGTATGCTACAACAATTCATGGTCCCCCTCCAGGTCGAAGACTCTCGGAGTATTGCCAGTATGGGTAGGGAGAGATTATCTTAAAGAGCCCTCAGCATAACCAAAAAACGGGGTCCATTATAATTTTGAAATATTGAAGAATTCAAAATTAAAACTATAACCTTTGTGACTTAAGTAATTATTATTGAAAGAATGAATACAAAATATACATATGCATGCATGTAATTTAAATAATTTTCCTCTGCAATTTGTTGGGCGAAAATAAATAAAAAAGTCTTTGTAACTTAAAATGCATGATATATAAAAATGAGAATCAATATTAAATTTGTATTTGAAGCACGGGTAAGCGGCTGACGGTGGCCACCCGAGTGGGCGCGGCGCGGCACGGCACTAGCAGCCGCGTGGGGGTACCCCGGCTTTGGCCGACCACGGCGCCGGTATCTCCCCGCGGTGTCGTTGCAATTAGCCGCGTCCGCTGTATCGGAGCCTGATAAGCCGGAGGGGGCGGGGAAGCGAGCCTGGCGAGGGATGGTGGAGGGGCAGTGGGCGGGAGCGGGGTGGGATATTGCGTGTGGACGCGCCGTTTGGGGCTATTGCGGCTCCCCCAGCGCGGCCGAGCCGTCCCTACCACGTCACCACGTGCCAACGCTCCACTGAGATTGACAATCGCGACGCTTCCTCCACTGCCGTTTCGTTTCGTTTGGATTTTCCGTCACAACATTTTAACACAAGCACGGTGCGAACTGACTGTGTGTGTGTGTGTGTGTGTGTTTGGGATTATTCACCCTCCTAGACTGTTTGATAACTCCCGCTGAAAAAGTAGTTTTTAGACCCTGCCTGGAAACCATAATATGGAATCCATAACCTAGTGCTTCATTTATAATTTCGAATCTGAGGTGCTCAAATTAGCAGCGGCTTTCGAATGCCATTTCATTTTCCGGAGAACATCCATCGTCGGGGTCAACAGAAGACCTCAGAATATACTGCAATATAATCGAAGGAAAATTCGTTTGTTTTTAAGAACTAGTGCTACAAGTAATTTGGCCACAAACATTTTCAGTTTCTGAGACATGTCAAGTTCAAGTTTATTTTGATCATTTTCAGTACTTGCGGTCCTTTACTCTGACTCAGATGGCCATGACCTTGCTTGATCTAGATCAACGTTCATTCTGATGCTTCTCATTACACAATTATTGTTCCCTCGGTAGACACTAGCATAAAATTGAAACGTGTTTAGGGGCAGGCTTGGCTGTAAGAAAACATCGGAGCTTCCACGAAGCAACTACATATGACGACGGTTATGACTTTGTTTCGAAAATATTCCGATAAGCTTTTAAACCCAAAAATAAATATTATGGTTGGGAAAAGTTTTCACAATAGAAGTTTTAAACAATTAAACAGTAACTCTTTATCTAAACAAGGAGAATGAAAAAAACAAACAAATAACCATGCTGGGATCCATTGTTGACCCCTCCCCAATTGGTATGCCAGTGTTAAGTAAATGGGAAAGAAAACGATCCAATGAACACCTTTACGGTGAGTACTTTTTGTGCTGCGTAGAGAAGATGATAGTGTCACTCGGCAATCCAACGATTCGTACCATACGGAATTTTCGAATGTTTTCCTCTGGAGAATGGCCATTCGCACGCTGCTCATCGATATACGTTTCAACAGCGCTGCCAGTGCAACCATTACCATCGCACTTTCATTCTAGATTTCATCACCACAGATTCCCTCATACTTCTTTCAATGCTATCTCTGTAACTACGCTTACCCCACAGTGGGTCCTGAATCTTACAGCTAGGGGGAGGACTTTTATGACCTAAAACATGGTCAAAAGTGATCAATAAAATGCTCTTAAATTATTTTTAAAATGTTATTACAATATCCTAGAAGCAAAGAAAAATTACGTAAAAAAGTATCAAAAACAAACGGTACTTCAGATGAACAGCTCAAGTGAACTCAGCTTGCAAACTTTTGGTTTGGAGTGTAGTTTACCACGAAATCTCTGCCTTTATTTTTCGTTAAAACGGCCGAACCGACAATGGTGGTGACCGACGTCAAAGGAACTTTATATTACTTGTACCAGGCGACATTAAAATTTCCGAGCAAAGAAATTGAATAGGCTAATTTGGAATTATGTTGAGAACATTTATGGCATCTCGTAAATATTATTTGAAGCAAGTACCATTAAAATAATAATAAAATGGGTAAAATAAGCGAAAATGCTTTAAAAATTACGGAAAAGCTAAAGAAATGACTTATTAATCAAAATCGACAGAATGCAAAAAAAAAAAACCTTAAAAATGAGCCATTTCTTTTGATTATAAAATTAAATTAATGTTATTCTAAAAGGCATTGTTTTAAAGTGAAAAGAAAAAAATTACATTTCATTAATATCCGCCCCATACTTATTACTATCACCACAAACTCGTCTCCTTCATATCTCTACATTCACTGTTCATTTATTACTACTTCTCTGTTAACGTTACCACTGTCATCATTCTTTTATCATGAATTTTAACATAACAATCTGACCATTACCACACTTTTAAGCTCACCTCTACGCCCTAAAGTTACCCACTAACGACGGTTTTCTTTCATGCCGCAACTGCGCTTTCGTGACAACTATTTTACATTAACGTTTCTACGATAACAATTGTTGCCAAATAATGCATGACAATATACTTCATTATTCATCGTATTTGTACTGCAAACTACACGGACACTACTTGCTATTATCGTTGGACACAGTCATGATTGCAGTTTGATTCCATGGTTCGGGCGGTATCTGCCTGGAGAATATAAGGACCCGGGGTCCGTTTCCGGAGCGATCAAATATTACATTTCGCGACTTACGACTCACAATTTCATCTACTATACGCGCAAGTTTTCTTGATATTTCATAGCAGGGGGTGCGGGGAGAGGAGGGATTTGGCTACGTCACGGCTGAAAAGGGCGTACCAACTGTGGGTATGAACTTAACTCGCCAAACCGTGCCACGAAAAATGTTGATTGTTTTAAAAGTACGTGGTGGTTGTTGCCAGCATTGTAAATTGGTGCGTGCCGTTCCGAGTCAAACCTAAGTATCTCAACGTTCCGTGCTATTCAGCGCGGGATGAGGACTAGGAAACTCGTGTATCAAGAAAACTTGCGCGAGTAATACTATCACCTTCTGTTATAATTTCCTCGTAAGTTTGGTGTATCTACAACAAGAGAGGAGTTTAACGTATCATTAACACAAGATTTTTTGTCACACTGATGGCAGTAGAGAAATTAAGTTATCTCACTTTAACTCCGAGAAATCAACCAACAGATTTTCCATTTAAGAAAACGAACAAAGCTTGGATTTCATACATATTTCGAATATCGTATCTCGGCAATTACATTTCGGCACACAAACAAAACCTTTAACAAGGAAAATAAACTCTCTCCGAGTTAACGTATCACTCCTTGACGGGAACGAGGAAGTCGCTCGTCTGACAAATTTGTCCTATCGTTCACGACAGGGCCAGCATTTGTCACTCTGCCAACTCTACTGCACCATGTCAATCACGGAGAAATAGTATGGCGCTTTCATACTACTTCCCTGTAACTGTTTTCATGTTTAGTGATAAAATATACATTGAATGTAACAAATGTGTTTCCTCAGCAGTGTAATGAAGTTGTCAACTTACATGAGGTATTGAACACTCATCTAGAAGTTTAAAAAAAATTGACAAAGTTGTAAATTACGATTATGAACATCACGATTTACGATGAATATTTTGCTAATTGATATTTAAAGTATAAGAATTCCCTAATATTTCAATCAATTCTATGACAAGGATGTTATATGTCAGCATCAGAACGGCATATAAGATATTTTTTGTTGGCCAGGTATGATCAGATTCTACGAATTATCGGCCACAAATATCTGATTTCTTTTATTACTACAATCAAAATAACTTGCATTTGTTTTTCTTTTCAAACATCAGAAAACTCAATTTCGCGTTCTACTCTAATATGATCTGAACCTAATGGTAATTGAATTGTTTGTTATTTATATTTTTCATTGTTTTAGTAATTTCATTCGTATTTATTAAAGTATTTCTCTGGAAAGTAGTCGTAGTTATTTGTGCATCCAAGAATGCACAATACCCTTACATTAATCAAACAGCAATATCACAATGTGTTTACATGAATTGTTATTTCCGAGGCATTCTATCAGAATAGCAGATCCATATTCAGAAAAAACTGTTTAAATGAAATAATATCTAACTATGTTTCTAAATGGATTACACAATTATGTTGGAATATAATATTACAATTTTAATTGAACGTAAACCCCCAAATAATAGGATCAAAATAAACTACTTAAGCAGACGATTATTTTGTATAAATTCAAGCAAGAAATGTATTAAAGTAAAAACACGAAACAGCAACCATCATGAAGGTTTCGGAAAACTTACAAAATGTTTCGATAGCTCGTAATTCTCGAACGTGTCCTGCAGCAGCGGCATTCTCTTCTCTTGCACATCACACACAACCAAGTACAACTTGCAGTCTGCCAGCGAGCAACAGCGTCGCCTCCGCCGAGCCTTTCCTGATTTCTTTATTACGGGCTCTGAAAAGGGAGTTTCCTCAGGAAAATAATGTGCGGCCTCCGCCGCACCGCGCCGTCTTTAGTATGCGGCGGGAAACGAGCTGCCGGTAATAAGCAAATTGAGGGGGCTTCAAACCACGTATTTCGCTTTAAAAATACTATTTATTACTCGTCGCATACGTGTCATTTATGCTCTCTCTTTTCATTCAATGACCTTCGTTCCCGTCGTGCTGTTCGCGGAGGAAAAGCCTGAAGCAAGTCGCCGTGCTAGCTGCTGCCAACTCAGAGTAATTTAAATTTCCCTCGTACGTTCAAAATTTTACCCCGGCGTAAACAAATGTTTCCCAGAATGAGTAAAATGACAGTAATATTTCGGTTAGTTAATGATTGAAATATTTCATTCACCTCTGTAAAATCAGTTTTTGAAGGTAAAATCATTGTGATGTAGAGCGCAATTCCTTCAAATAAAATTAAAAAGTTAAATGGTATTATTCAACTGAACTCATGCCGAATGTTGCATTACAAACGAAAATATAAGAATATTTCATATTATAAATCAAACAAACAATAAATTATAAATTAAATTTGTGAGTTCGTGTGATTCTCAAAAGAACGCTAATAATCTTATTAGAAAATATAATAGGTCAAAAAATATAATACACTATATTTTACTAACGTATCCTGAGAATAATGATAAGAACTATGAAATCAATTGAATTCATTTTTCTACGCTTCGACCAAAACATGGTGATCGATTAATTTCTTACACCGTGATGTCTTCATTCAAAATAATTGTTTGTAACAACTTAAGAAATACATATGTACACCATGAGACTTCCGGAAACTTTTTTTAACTGTACCACTATGCATGAAAATAATTTCCTTCTCACTAACGATCTATTTACGAATTTTCGAGAAGAAACATATTGGTAGCACTTCTCGGAAAAACAAATTTCTTTCTTTCCAGAATACAGTCACAATTCCACCAGGGTCAAATTTGTGCTCGGACACATGGTTCAACACATCAAGAATGCACAGAGGACATCAAAAGAGTTATGATTATAGTAATATTAGAGTGTAACATTATGTAATGGGCCTTAATACTGGATGCACAAAATATCACAATAACATTTAAATAGTCATTTCGAAAGGGAGGTAGAGATTTCTGTTGAACCTTGTTTTATGAGGCCGTCTAGACTGTTTCACATACTAGTCAATTAACTCGTATTTTATTGTTCTACAAAAACGCAAGGTCTTACATAACATTTAAAATGAACGGGCGGGAGTGCTCTGATGAGAGTGTCTTCAAAGAGAGATATTCAGAGCTTGCATTGGAATAAAGAATATTTTCATTCACTGAATGCCCACCACGCACAATTCGAGCAGTTATATCTCAAGGTTATCAAGTACGTTCCTAATGAAAAACAAATGCCCTGTAAATGCATAAACCGTTGATGAAATAAAATACGCGATATTGAAATTAAAGAGACACTAAACTATAATATAATTTATATCAAATCAAATTCAATGAAAAAATTTGTCAAATCTTTTGTAGCTACGGATTTAACAAGGCCACATTGAGCATTAACTGACAATACCTCCTTAGCAATGGCTCCGAGGGCCTTTCTTCCCAACAACCAACCAGATTTTTGATCGAAATTATTATGGCCTTTTGTACTTCGAGAGACCTCTCATTTTAAAATGACTTAAACTTAATGTGATTAGGTGGTCCGCGCGTCTCGAAGCAGGAAGTAGTCGTCCATTTAGAGGGCATTGTTTGCAGTCTGTGAAAAGAGATTGCAAGGAAAAGATGTCCTGTAGATAATATGAAAGCCACTCCTCTTATATCGGCGATCACTTTTCTATTTTCTTTAAATATTATATGGTGTTCATCCGCACTTGCAATCATCAATTTTGTCTAAATACAAAGACAAAAACATTAATTTCAAAATTAATTATTCAAATATATTAAATATTAATTAAATAAACTTGAAAAATGAATTAAAAGGACAAAATTTAATTAGATATTTTAATAATCCAAGATGATCTTCGAACCACGTGGAAAAAACACAAGGTGAAACCAAGTACAATTTTTCAGTCGAAAAAACAAAATCCAAACAAAAGACGGTTGAGAACATCCAGATAATCAATCACCCGACGGCGACGAGAAAAGGAAAAGCTGATTTTACAGTCTGTAAAGAAGACTATTGACATACGTGTACTAGTATACAGTTATCGACATGACGTGCCGTTTTCAAGACGAAGTAACAAAAGTAACAAATTGCGTCTAAAGCGTTCAATAAAATTTTAAGAAAGAAATTAAAAACTTAAGACTTGACTCCAGCAATTCTGAGCATTTTACAATTCACAATAAAAATTAATTTAGTGTTTTTTCAAATTGTTATTTTCTCGAAACATTAATCTGTGATGGTCCTCTAGAATATTTTAATATTGTCGATTGAAAAACATGTGATGGACAGTTTTCCAAATTACCACAATATTTAACGCTTATGGAAGAATCAGCTATAAATTTTACAAAAAGCTACGATCGAAGAAGAAACAATTGATTTCAGTATTATTTTCTTAGAAGGAGATGCTGCAAACGACATTAAATTCGACAATTGAATTTGCCTAGCAAAAACATGAAAGAAAATTCAAAGTTGTTACTATTTTTTGTACCATATAATAAATGAGACATTCACAGTGTATTTGTAATCAATGAAGCAAATCTTTGCTTTATTTATGGATAATATTTTTATTTTACATTCTGCGTAAAAATGGCATAAATCGCAACAAAAGTGTACGTCTAGCAGTCAGGTCTGATTCAAATGCATTTTCCTAACAAAGTTTTTTTTTCCTTTCTATTTTTAGTGAAGAATAAATGATCGATCATGCGAGAAATGGTATCCTCATTTTTGCTCTGCAGAGTCGAGTAATAATGATATTAAAAAATCAGATCAAATAATAATAAAAGTAATTATTACAATTTTTGTTTTCTTAATATATGTTAAGCACATGACACTCCATCACTGAAAATAAATCGTTTGCGAATGTCGTGAAACGTGGCATTGCGTCATGAAATTTCCGTACACTGCTTAAGAAGGTTAAGATGGTAGGAAAAAAACGCAAGTCCACATGAAAAAACATACCTTTCTTCCATCTCACAGTCGGGTCGAAACCTCTGCTCGTATAGCGCCAAACTGCAACAGTTGGCAGCACGCTGCCCGCACGCGTGGTCGTGCACCGCGAAACGGGCGGCCTATTGTAATTACCGGCATCGACGCGGCGACCGCCACGCCCCTGGCGGGCGACTCGGGAATGCGTTGTCAATTAGGCACAAACGAATTCCGAGAAAGTGCCGCCTCCGCCGCCGTCGCCGCCGCGCGGTTTCATCAGTTAATAAGAGATGTAAACATTTCATTATGTTTATGTAAATCCGAGAGCCAACGTGAAATTTCACTAACTGCGGGGCAATTTCAGAATTGTAGAGTGTGTTTCTCTCTCTCCCTCCTCCGGTAATTGATAAGGGCTGGCGGCGGGTGGTGAGGGGAGAGGGAGCGGTTTCTAGGAAGAGACTGGAGTACTGAGGAGCCGCCCTGAGCGGCTGTACGCAGCCCCGCCCCCGCCTGCGCCCCCTGGTGGCCGCTCCCTCCGCACTGGCCTCTCACCTCTTTCCATTTCCCTGGGGAAACTGTATTTCGCTTACGAAACCGGTAAATGTGGCTGAGGGCATCAACTGATTTCACTGCAGGGCCTCTGACCGGGTGGTTCTAGGGTTCGAGTTCCGAATGACAGGATTTTCCACACTCGCTAATGAGCAATACGAACTCAGCTGCTGTCCAGACGATAATTCTACCTGTCTGCTGCTCTGATCGGTAGTGTTCCGTTGTTTCTCTGATCAACACCAGGCGAACGCAGTGCCATGGACCGCACGCTCTTTCTCTTCCTCATCCTATCTTCATTCCTTACTTACGACACTTACAACAACGTGCTCTGCACTTCCATAGTAGTTGTGAGGCCAGTAAGAAGCTTAGAACTTCTCCCGGCAGGGGCGGTGACATGCTGTTGGGAGGTACCTGGTTGGGAAAACCCTCGCGAGTTGATGTAGATCGGCGCCGTATCTCGCCATTCAAAGGGAAGATCACTATCTCCTCCAGCGACAAAAAACATGAAATACACTTACGGTGATAATGACCTTAGTTTTTGACGTGCCCGGAATCGCTAATCAATTATTAAATCAACAGCTTACGAAATATGTTATTACTATTCGCATAAATGTCTCATAGGCTTCATCCCTCAAAATTAAAAATACTTTTTTATAACTATATAGTCATGACCATGCAGTAGAAAGTGGAAATTGAGATCACAGAATTTTGTCGGAGTAAATTTAAATGTTAAATCATTAGTAACCTATCACAGATTAATCAATAACCAAATCTCAAAACAAATATCTATGGAATGGTACTATGACGAGACTCCATTCCGCACACGTTCACCTCAGGCCAAGACATCGTAACAAAATGATGCCTTGATGCCTTTTGCGAACTGAACCACTCCGCTCAAGATAAAACGTTTCTCTTGCAAAATGACGGATTTCTGTTGGTCACCCACCTATTTGTCGTGCACGGAATATTTTGAAACGAAAGTTTTGAGATGAAATCCGGAAAGGTGGCAATCCTAACCCAAAAGCAAAGTGCCAGAAACGAAGGCAGTCAGACAGTCGGCAGCGGACTCACCGGAAAAGCATCACCTCGCGCTTCGTGGAAGCCCCCTAAACCAGGGCCGACGGTGACTTATCTGCCGGCACCTAATCGGCGTGTATCGCCAGGTACCTGCACAACAAACTTCCGGGACAGCGCGCAACGGTGCGCATGGCGTGCGGGGCAGGGCGGGTGGGGCGAGGTGGGGGTGGGGCTGGCAGCGGGGGCGCGACGCCTTCTCGCTGAAAAGGCGATCCGTGTAGTGGGGGCGCGGGGTGGGTTCCCGGTTTCCGGTTGGATGCGCCGGCAGCGCCGGGCGAG